TAAACCCTAATGCCATCACCACTTCTGCTACTGGTCCTGATCTCAGAACCATTCTTAGAACATCTGCTGCCTCTTTGGGTTGGCCATTGCCGCTGTAACCTTCTATCATAGCAGTGGAAGCCTCAATTGATGGCTCAGAAATACTGTCAAACACCTTACGCGCGTCACAAACCTGGCCACATTTTGTATACATGTCGATCAAAGCAACAGTAATGAAGTTGTCATTCTGTAACCCATCATCAACAATCTGCTTGTGAACCGTAACGCCTAATTCGACGTCCTTGACACTCGCGCAGCAGTTGAGCACAGTTGTGTAGGTGAAGCAGTTGGGTTTGCAGACGGGGATGCTGGCACCATCGGTGCCGTTGCACATGAGTTGGTAGAGTTTGATAGCTTCGTGTGGGAGTCCGGCGTGGTGGTACATGGAAATGGCCGTGGTCCAGGAGACGACATTTTTAAGTGGCATTTCGTCGAACAGTTTGCGAGCGGTGGATAGGAGGCCGCAGCGGGAGTAGAGGAGGAGTAGGCTGTTGGCGACGAAGGGGTCGGTGTGGAGTCCGGCGAGGAGGGCTTTCTCGTGGGCCAGACGGCCGAGACGGAGGCTCCGAGCATCAGCGCAGCGCTTGAGAATGGAGCAGAGGAGAGAAGAGTCGGGGGAGATGGATTGGGATTGCATGAGGTCGAGGATGGAGAGGGATTCCTGGATTCGGTGCTCGATGGAAGAGGTGTTGATCGCGGTAGGGACGGCGCCGGGCGGTGGTGAAGAAGAGTGGAGATGTAAGGTGTTGCGGTCGCGGCGGAGGAAGGGGGGAAGGTGTTGGCGGGTGGCCGGAGAGAGTCGGGGAGTGACGGAGGAGAAGACGGCGGCCATGGGAGGAGGATGTGGTGCGCGAACGGGATAAGCTTCTCCGCTTCCTTCAATTGAAATTCGATTCGATGAGGATAATAATTAAATTTTCGTAAAGAATAAAGTAATGCTTTTTATCAAATATTTAAGCGATTTTAGTTTTGTAATGATATTGAGAAAAAAAATCCCAAACAAAAAAAAT